CACTCACTACCTAGCCACATGCTAAATGCCTGTTTCCTTCCCATAAAACCTCTTCTCCACCTTTCGTTCTAGCCACACATAACTCATTGCTCCCTGAAAAAGCCAAACGCTTCTATGCCGGTATTTACCCAACTGCCTTTAAACGGTTAAGAAACATTAAACAGGTGTTCCCCAAAGGACTTCTGTCAATCCCCCAAGAAAGGAATTCAGTATACAGTATCAGAAATCAAGAAATTCAGGCTCAATGTAGTTATATAACATGCCCAAGGTCACACAGCTAGTAAAGGATGACACCAATACTCAAATCCAGATCTGACTGACTTTAAAGCCAACGTTCTTTCCATTAACTGTGCTATTCTGGTAAAGCTCAACACTAAAGGCTAAGTGAGAAAGCAAGGCTTACAAATGACCTTCTGAAGTGGGTGGAGCCAATGTCCCCCCTCCTTTCTCTCCTTCACCCTGCTTTGATATAGTTGATAATGACTACAAAACTGATCACATATATACAGTTTGCATAATCCAAAACTAAATAGCTACCCCCCTCACAGCTATAAAAAATAAGATGTGGCCTATTTGTTTTTTTAATATGCAAGAATGAAAATGGTGGGGGAAGATGTGGTGACTCTTTTGTGATTACTACTCTTATATTAATAAAAACATAACCTCTAGATAACCTGTTTCAAAAGCAGATTAAGTTCTCAATTACCATTGGGATATCTGGACCGATCTCTCTGTGCCCCCTATAACAGGAAGCAGCTATAGCATGAAGCTACATGTCCTGAGTAAAAGAACAGAAGACAGAAGGGGACTTATGTCTTTTAACTGATAATAGCATAATTAATAGCTCCCCCAAATCACTCTGATGAGCTATTTAAAACATCTTATTTGGAGATTACATTTGCTATAATTTTCTCAAATAGTTCCTTTATTTACATGCACTAATGAGATGGGCTAAAAAAAAAAAGTTAGATTCCTTTTGCAGTTTGTCTTAGAACTCTAAATTGCATTTCATAATACACATAACTATGTCTATTTATAGACTGTAGATATAATTGTAGTTGTAAAAGTAATGTAGATAACAATTATTCCCAAAAGGCTAAAATAATTAAGATAAAAGATGCTTAATCACTGACATAAAAAGTATAAAGGTAAGCAGCTACCATAATTTGTGGCTCAGTTTCCCATGGAAGGTTTATTTCCTCTTCAGAAAACGAAAAGGTAAAACACAGTAAGCAATATTACAAAAAGAAAAAAGGAACCATAAATAATGCCACACAATCTTCTATGTTCGGGTAAATAAAACCCTTAGACAAAACTAATAATTCAAACCATCCTCAGCAATTCCTATACTATAGTATTTTATCTTTACTTCCCCATGGGAAACTGCTTGTAAACCCTTTCCATTGTTACCACCCTGGCTGGAGCCAGTACCTTCTCTCCCATGGACAGCCTTGCATGGACAACCTCAACAGCCCTCACTCATGACCAATGTAGTCCCTTCTCCACAGAAGCCAGAATCATCTTTTAAAAAATCCTTTTAAGGATTTTTTAAGAAATCCTCTCCTCTGCACAAAAGGCTCCAAGGCTCCCTGAGGGATGACACTCAGAGGAGAACCCTGACATGGACCCATGGCCTGAAGCCCACCCACGCCAACCCCTCCCTCCACACTCCACCCCCAGGCTCCAGCCTCACTGGCCCTCTCCCCTCTCCTCCAATAAGCTTAGGCTCCTTTCCACTTCATCTTTCCTTTGCCTGGATCTTTGCTTGACTCATTCCTACTCCTCCCTCAGAGCTGCTTCCCTGGACCACTCTATCATACTCTCTACCCCTCACCATGCTTTATTTTCTCCACAGCTCTTACCAATATCTTTGAGACTGCATGATTGCCATCTATCTTTCCTGTTAGACTAAGCTCTAGGATGGCGGGGAGGTTGTCATTGTCTTCTGGCTTGCCACTGTGTTTCTGAAGCCCAGAAGTGACTGGCACATGGTGGACACACAGTAAGTGTTGGAGAAATGAGTTTCAGCTCTGGGAGGTTTTTCTCTCTTCTCTGACTGCATATAAAACTGGCGATTTTCACAGTAACCCAAAGTTGCCTTGTATTGTTGCATATAGCCAGACTTAAGCAAAATGTTTTCTACTTGTTTTGCATCCAGAAAGTAAAAGCTAGCATTTTATTTACAAAATGAATGATGCTTAAAACTTGCCAATTTGGCTCTACTTTCAACCTGTTGCTATCTGTTAGAGAAGGGACAAAGTTATTTATATCATCCCGGTATATCAGCTATTATTTTGACATAGACATTCTCTCACAAGATATGATAAAACTTAAGATGAACCATTAGAAAAGATGAAAGAAAATCTATCCACAGTAATATATTATTTGAAAATCTATCCAAAGTAATATATTATTTGTTATTAAACATTTGTTTTAAACAATTTCCACTGACTTGGTTCCACGTAGTCTTCTACTGGCTCTTTGTTACACGAGTAGACTACAGGGTGAAAATAAAATTCAATATTGATTTTTAAAACTATGTTTACATTATCATTAACACACTACCATCATTAGCAAATAACCAATAAAGTCAAACAAAACATACTCTAATAGAGTATCTGCTATTCTCAAAAATCTGAACAAGAAGTTATAGCTTCATATATCATAAAAATTCCAAAGTATCTGCATTTATTCACTGAACAAATAAAATCAGATAGCCAAGTGCTAGGCACTATGATTTGCACATTTTAGGCCCTAGTCAAAATTTTCATTTTATAGGAATTAAATAACTAGAATAATGACCATATTTTAACAAATATTTTGCTAGGCTAGTGACTAGCTAATTAAGTCTTTTTAAGAGTACAACGATTTAAAGCAAAAGGAAACTTGCCTGACAATTATAGAAATTAAAAATACTCCAGGAAGTTTGGCAATTTATTCTGAGGGTGAAAAGTCTTTCAAAACTAAGTAGCAGCACACAATCACCCTCCAATTATATAATATCTACTGTATATACAGTAGTCTATACACCACTGTGCAAGTTTTTCTGATGCCAATAAAAACTGTAACAAGAATTATTATTCCAAGGTTATATTATTTCTTTTTATTATTTAATAGTATTAAGAGTCCTTTAAAAGTTTATATTTTATATTGAAAAGTTTACTATTTGCAACAATTGGAGCATGGATTCACATCTCCTCCTATCCTTTACAAACACTGGCAAACATTCTTTACACCTAGTGCTTGCTGTGTGGGCCTCAAGAATTACTGCAACCAAACAAAACTAAGTACAATGCAAAAGTAATAGCTATAGGCCCTCTAACTTTTTAGCTTAAGGACCAGCATAACTCAAGTGTCTGCCTGTGTTGATGATTTGATTTCCTGAATAAGTTTGTAGAACGCCAGGTTTTATGTTATCACAAAGATGCTGCAACTTGCCAAGAGGTAGTGGGAGGGAATGATTCTCTTGTTGTCCTTAAAATACCTGGTTCTGCAGAAAACTCGCAGTAGACACAGGCTTTCAGGACACCCCTGGGGAGAGCTTACAGGACACGTGGACAAGTCATTTGTTCTATGGCAGCAGGCTAGACATTTCTTTCAATAAAAGCATATTTTAGGAAATATGCACAAATTGGCAGTGAAGACTGTTATCAGGTTTGAAGCATTTACAAACATAAGAGCATTGCAAATTGTGCTGTTTTTAGCAGCACAAAAGCAAGAAATTCTAGAGTCCTTCATGAGGCCTGCCTGAGTGCTAAGAACATACCAATAGCACTACCACTTATAACATATTTTATTAGACTTTGCCCCTTTCACTTAAGCAGCTGCAATCTAAATTATGAGACACTTAGGAGTGGGGGTATGGGGGGGTCATAAAATAAAACCTAAAAGTATTCAATGCTTAGTTTATGAATAGCTACAACACTCCAATTATTTAAAATTCCCATAATTAAAATGCAACACCGGTCATTTCAGTACTGAAGGATTCTGAATAGGAAAAAACCACAAAAACATACAACAAATACATCATTTCTTCTTGTCACTCTTCTTTCTACACTCAGAAAAGGACAATGTTTCCATTTGAGTTAGCTCCTGTTCTAGCAGGTTTTACAAGGTTGAAAGACATCCAGCTGAAGTAGGCCAATGCCAGTTCTGGATGCATCCTTTAATCTTTCATGAGATTTCATCTCATTCTAAGAATATGAAGCGAACTTCAATATTAAAGAACCGACTTCAAACAGCAATTCTACTAGCTCTTTTATACAGCGAAATTTAATGGGATTTGTATTTAGGTCATTTATCGAAATCTGGTAAATGCATCCTGATTTATAAACAAAGTAAATGACACAGGCCAGGTCTTCAGGATTTCAAGCACTTGTGCAAGGACAACCCACTTGCTCTTAAACCAAAAGCGCGTAACAGCACAAACTCGTGCCTCTTGTTTGGAGAAAAGAAGCCATTAAACCAATAATAAAATCATATTTCATGTACACAGACATCTGAATGATTTTGGAAAAGTCAAGGGACACGAAGGCATATTTAAAGCGGGTGCATAGCACGCTCAATACCACACTTACAAAGCTGAAGCTCCCAAGTACAGCCGGGAAGTTTGATGAAGGCCCCTGAGGGAGGACGGCCATGGGCTCCTCATAATCTGCAGAAGGCTTCGGTTTGCAAAGTCCTACACAAATGAACCACCCACGACACCGAAAGGTCAAACTGCCCCTGAGCTTTCCAGCAGATCCAGATATTTTACAAATGTTTAATCTACAAGTAAGCCTGGTCCTTCCGAGTTTTTAAAAAGAGCACCCAAAGGCAACAAGTCAAGGTAAGACTGTCACCTGCCCCAAAGCAAGTCACTAAGGACTAGCCGGACCTCACCCTGGAAAGCCTAGGCGTGAGGTGCTGCTGGTGCCATAAGGCTGACCCGCCACTTTCCAGGTACTAGATCCCTGGGCTGGCACGGAAGCGGTCTGTCTCCACACCCGCCCCACACTTACTGTTGCTGGACTTGAGGTCCCGGTGAAGGATGGGCACGAAGGCCTCCTCGTGCAGGTAGAGCATGCCCCGCGCGATCTGCACTGCCCAGTTGACCAGCACGTGCGGGGGGATGCGGCGCGCGCGGCGCGGGCCGGTTGCGCGCGGGTCCGGGGCTGCGTTGGCGGCGGCCAGCGCGCGGTTGAGCGCTCCGCCGCGGGCGAACTCCAGCACCAGGCAGAGGTGCGGCTGCCGCAGGCACACGCCGCGCAGCTCGATGATGTTGGGGTGCCGCAGCATGGCGAAGAGCCTGGCCTCCCGCCGCACGCTCTCTGCCGCCGCCGCCGCGTCCTGCTCCGGGTCCCGGCGCGCCGCCTTCACCGCCACCTCCTGGCCCTGCCAGGTGGCGCGGTACACCTGCCCGAAGCCGCCGGCGCCGATGAGCTCCTTGAGCTCCAGCAGCTCGAAGTCGACGTGCACCGGCGAGCCGGGCCGCGCTGGCGGCGGCGCGGGCGGCGGCGCGGGGCGGGCAGCCGGGTGGCAGGGAGCCACGTAGTTGGCGGGGAAGATGCCGAGGCGCCGCTGCACCTGGCCAGCCCACCACCCCTCGTCGCCCGACACGGCGGCGTCCTGCGACAGCACCTCCACCAGCTGGCCGCGCCGCAGGCTCAGCTCGTCCTCGCCGCGCGCCTCGTAGTCGTAGAGCGCGGCCCACAGCCCCGCGCCCGCCGCGGCCGAGGCCGAGCCGCCGGAGGAGGCGGACGACGAGGACGCGGAGCCGGCATGGGCTCCCCGGGCCGGGGACACTGGCGCGTCGGCTGCGCCCTCGGCGCCGGGCAAAGCCATCCGGGCGGCTGAGGGCGAGAGCGGAGCGCGGAGCTGCGGGCTCAGCCTCCGGGGCGGCCGGGGGCGCGCATCGTCCGGCGGGGCGGCCGTCGGCGCCTAGGCAAGGCGAGGGGGGAACCGCGCTCGGAGCCGGCAGCGTTCGGAGCCTCACTACCCGCAGGCCCCGGCCTCAGCCCCCCGTCCCGCCTGGCCGCCTCTGCTGCTGCAGCGGTCCCCGCAGCCGCGGGCGAGGTCCCACCATAGTGGTGCACCGGGGCCTGCGGCCCGCCTGCCGCGCGCTCGCCCAGCCCTGGCCTGGGCCCGCCCCGACCTCCCCGCCACCGCGCCGGGCCAGCCCCGCCTTCCCAGGTCCGTTCCGCCCCCCTGGGCCCGCCCCGCGCCCAAGTCCGCCCCGCCTCCTGAGCCTGTCGCCTGGACCCGTCCCCCGGGCCCGTTCCAACCTTCCCCCCACGGCACCGAGTAGCCCCGCCCTCTCCAGGTTCATTCCGCCCTCCCTGACCCGCTCCAGGCTCCGAGGCCCGCCCGGGTTTCCTAGGCCCGTCCTCCCGGGCCCTCCCTGCCCTTCTTCCAAGCGCACCAGGCCGCCTAGGCCTCTCCAGGTCTAGTCCAAGTCCCCAGCCCGCCCCCACAACCTCGGCCCGGCCCGCCCCGCCCCGTGTCCTCTCCGGAGCCTGGGCCCGCCCCCGCCCTCCTGAGTCCGCCCCCGCCCTCCTGAGTCCGCCGCGCCTTCCCCAACCGGCCGGCTCCCCGCCGCAGGTGCTCAGTGCCCCCGTGGCCCGGGAGGCGGAGCCACCAGTCAGCACTGTAAGTTTTCGGGAAAGTTTAAATTAAGCCAAGGTTTAGGCTGAAGGAGTGGACTCCTCTCTAAAAAGCAGTGAGAGCAGCTCCGGGAGAGTGATAGGGCATCCAGAACACGCTGCACGACAAATTGGAGCGCCGGTCCAGACCTGGGCCAGTGCCTACGCCCCGTCACCAGGCTGCATGCACCTGACCCACGGTGCATATTGAAGCTGACCAGGTTACAGATGACAGCGCAGAGTGAGCCGGGTTAGTATGGTCCCAGAAGCTCCTGCCTCGTGACTGTCAATCCCGTGTTTCTCTTTACTGTCTGCGCAAATGGGAAAAGACCCTGTCTCCTTGTGACCCACAGGTTTGGGTTTAGGAGGCACTGGCAAGACTGGGTGCAGGAGGTTGACAGGTTACTATGGCAGGAAATGAGGCTAAAAAGATAAGAGTTCAATTATAAAAATTCTAAAAAAATTAGATTATCCTGTAGTAGGCCAGAATTTCCTGAAATGTGGGTCCTATACTATCAATGACAGGAGGGACTATTTTGATGTTATTAGAATAGGACATATAGGAACATTGAATCGCATGCTGAGAAATGACTTGCTTTTCAGATTTCCTTCAGTCTCTTAGATTTAACCATTTATCAGCTGTGTGACCTTGAGTAAGTTACTTTCTCGGTGACTCAGTTTCCTCATCTATAAAATGGGAATAGTAAAAAATAGTACCTACTTCATAGGTATTTCATAGGGTGGTTGGGAATATTAAATGAGTTAATAGATATACAGTGGGCCCTCCACATCCACAGATTCAACCAACCACGGATTGAAAATATTTTTTGAAATACAAAAAATAATAATACAACAATAAAAATAAGACAAAAAATATACCATTAATATAACAACTATTTACATAGCATTTACCTTATATTATATATTATAAGTAATCTAGAGATTTAAAGAACAGACATATCTTGGAGATATTTTGGGTTTGGTTTCAGACTACAGCAAAAAGTCACATGAAATTTTTGTTTTCCCAGTGCAAATAAAAGTTATGTTCACAGTACGCCATACTCTATTAAGTGTGCAATAGCATATGTCTAAAAAACATTGTATATACTTTAATTCCAAATGCTTTATTGCTAAAAAATGCTAATGATCATCTGAACCTTCAGCAATTTGTAATCTTTTTGCTGGTAGATGTTGCCTTGTAGCTGCTGACCGATCAGGGTGGTGGTTGCTGAAGGTTGGAGTAGGTATGGCAATTTCTTAAAATAAGACAACAATGAAATTTGTTGCATTGATTGACTCTTCTATTCACAAGAGACTTCTCTGTAGCATGCAGTGCTGTTTGATAGTATTTTACCCACAGAAATTCTTTCAAAATTGAAGTCAATTCTCTCAAACCCTGCGGCCGCTTTATCCATATATGTCATATTCTCAATTCTTGTCATTTCAACAATGTCCGCATCATCTTGGCAAGGAGTAGATTCCATCTCAACAAACCACTTCCTTTGCTCATCCATAAGAAGTAACTCCTCATCTGCTCAGTTTTGATGATGAGACTGCAGTAATTCAGTCACATCTTCAATCTCCACTTCTAGTTCTGTTTCTCTTGCTATTTCTACCACATCTGCCGTTCCTTCCTGCACTGAAGTCCTGAATTCCTCAAAATCATACATGAGAGCTGGAATCAACTTTTTTGAAACTCCTGTTAATGGTGATATTTTGACCTCTTCCCATGAATCACGAATGTTCTTAATGACATCTAGACTGGTGAAGGCTTTCCAGAAGTTTTCAATTTACTTTGCCCAAATTCATCAGTGGAATCACTATTTATGGCTACTACAGTCTTACAAAATGTATTTATTACATAGTAAGACTTGAGAGTTAAAATTATTCCATGGTCCATGTGCTACGGAATGGATGTTGTGTTGGCAGGCATGAAAACAACATTCATCTCCTTGTACATCTCCATCAGAGCTCTTGGGTGATCAAGTGCGTTGTCAATGAGTAGTAATATTTTGAAAGGAATCTTTTTATTTCTAAGCAGTAGATCTTAACAGTGGGCTTACAATATTCAAGTAAACCATGCTATAAACAGATGTGCTGTCATCCAGGCTTTATTGCTCCATTTATAGAGCAAAGGCAGAGTAGATTTCACATGTTTCTTAAGGGCCCTAAGGTTTTTAAAATGCTAAATAAGCACTTGCTTCGACTTAAATTCACCAGCTGCATTGGTCATTAATGAGAGAGTTAGCCTGTCCTTTGAAGCTTTGAAGCCAGACATTGACTTCTCTCTAGCTATGAAAGTCCTGGATGGCATCTTCTTCCAACAGAAGGCTGTTTTGTCTACATTGAAAATATGTTGTTTAGTGTAGCCACCTTCATCAGTGATCTTAGCTACATCTTCTGGATAACTTGCTCTAGCTTTTGCATTAGCACTTGCTGCTTCACCGTGAACTTTTATGTTATGCATATGGCTTCTTTCCTTAAACATCATCAGCCAACCTCTGCTAACTTCGAACTTTTCTTCTTCAGCTTCCTCACCTCTCCCAGCCTTCACAGAATTGAAGAAATTTAGGGCCTTGCTCTGGATTAGGCTTTAGTTTAAGGAAATGTCATGGTTGGCTTGATCTTCTATTCAGACCACTAAAACTCTCTCCATATCAGCAGTAAGGCTGTTTGGCTTCCTTATCATTTGTGTGTTCATTGGAGTAGCACTTCTAATTTCCTTCAAGAACTTTTCCTTTGCTTTAACAACTTAACTGTTTGGCACAAGAGGCCTAACTTTCAGCCTGTCTTGGCTTGTGACATGCCTTCCTTACTAAGCTTGATCATTTCTAGCTTTTTATTTAAAATGATAGCCATGAGATTCTTCCTTTCACTTGCATGCTAATAGGCCATTGTAGAATTATTAATTGTTCTAATTTCAATATTGTCATGTCTCAGGGAATAGGGAGGATTGAGGAAAAGAGAAAGAGACAGGGGAACGGCTGGTTGGTGGAGCAGTCAGAGCACACACATGTATCCATTGGGCTGGCCGTCTTATATGGGTGTGGTTTGTGCCACCATAAAACAATTACAATAGTAACATCAAAGATCACTGGTTACAGATCATCTTAACAGATATAACAGATATGGTAATAATGAAAAAGGTTGAAATATTGCAAGAATTACCAAAATGTGACACACAGACAGGAAGTGAGCACATGCTATTGGAAAAATGGTGCCAATGAACTTGCTTGATGCAGGGTTACCACAAACCTTCAATTTCTAAAAAAATATGTCTGCAAAGAACAATAAAGCAAAGTGCAATAACAGAAGGTATACCTGGGTGGGACGCGGTGGCTCACACTTATAATCCTAGCACTCTGGGAGGCCGAGGCAGGAGGATTGCTCGAGGTCAGGAGTTCGAGGCCAGCCTGAGCAGGAGCGAGACCCTGTCTCTACTAAAAATAGAAAGAAATTAGCTGGACAACTAAAAATATGTAGAAAAAACTAGCCGGGCATGGTGGCGCATGCCTGTAGTCCCAGCTACTCGGGAGGCTGAGGCAGGAGGATCACTTGAGCCCAGGAGTTTGAGGTTGCTGTAAGCTAGGCTGATGCCACGGCACTCTAGCCCAGGCAACAGAGCCAGACTCTGTCTCAAAAAAAAAAAAAAAGAGAAGGTACACCTGTATACTCGGAGTATGTGTATAGGTTATAAGCAAATAATAAGCCATTCTATGTGGGGCTTGAGCATTAGAGGATTTTAGAATTTGGAGGATATAGCGCCTATATGAATATTAACAACCCCCCAGCAGGGTATAGGTCAGCACCCTATAATCAAACACAATAATATATCTACCCCAAAGTGTAAGAATACTCTCAACACCACAAACAGCCTCATGTCATTTCATGTCAAGTTTTGATGCTAAGTAAGTTTCTGTGTCACCTTACAAAAATAAGTTTTCATTTTCAGAGCTTTTGGATTTTAGAAAAGTAGACAAGTGTTTGTGGGAAGTGTTTGAGATAACTCCTCCTAGGTTTTTAGCTTAAGAAACTAGGTGGATGGTTATGGTATGAAATGACCTAGGAAATCATTTTAGGGAGAAGGTAATTTATTGTCATGTCATCGTTGGTGGCAATGAATTATACAGGTGGAATATAAGAGAACCAAGAACTCAGAAAGGTGAGCAGGGGTGAAAAAAATCACGTTTTGGAAGTAACTCTCTAAGCAGGATGTCAGACACTGAAACAAACTGCACTCCTGAGCCCTGTGGAGAGGAGAGGAGGAGGGGAGGTGCTGGGGTGGGGGTCTTTGTGTGCCTTTGGCTTAGAAGGCCCACCTAAATCTGTGACACAGTTTCATTCACCATGGCAGACTCTTTCTGCTCTGCCCTTCTGCTGCCTGCCAAAACACAGCCTCTCAAGTTCCAGAGCTGTCAGTCTGTAGAATCTTCTAACTTAGGTAAACTTCAGCCCTCCCTGGA